AATGCGCTGTTGCATAACTGTCGATGATCTTAGCAACCAGCGGGGCTGCCATGTATTATTTTCCCATTCTGGTGTAACCGGATGCAGCCAGCGGAATTTTTCACTTAGATGCGCAAGGTCCAGTCTTCTTCTCACAATGGGAACATTGCTGTTGTCCGTTATTAAGGCATTTACGGCAATCCTCAGATGGAAGCGTTTTACATCCGTTTCCCATCGGTTTACATTGCTTTACATTTAGTTTACATTTGCGTTATAGGTATAATATATTTAGTCACATTGCGTTACATTGTTTTAAATTTAGCCTGGCATTGGTTGACATTGGTTTATATTATGCGGTCACAATGATTTCCATGGCCTGTTACATGTTTTGAATGTGGTTTAACTCATTCATTATATAGGATTACATTTTGCGTTTGCAATTGCGTTTACATCTATATTGCATTGTTTATATTGTTTTTGTATTCGCGTCTAAATCGTTTAGCTAAATTGCGTGGCATTACTTTACATTATATTGCATCTTGTTTATGCATGATTTATTTGGTTTATTGACAGGCTTGTTTCATCTGAATCATCACCATTCTTTGCGCATGTTCAAACTTCTTCCATTGCGTTCGTCTATGAACCAGCTAACGTTCATTGGGCCGAATTAAACAGCCGCCGTGTATGAATAGAGATATATTTTTGCAGTCCAGAATACATTTTTTTTCATCCACGCTCTTCACACCATACAGTTCGCTTACCGCACCGGCGTCCACGCGATCCCGCCGCACAAACATACAAGGACATTGCGAATGACCCGACATCAACCTAGTCCACAGGAGTTAGCTGTCCGCGATTCAGGACGCGCTATAATTAATCGATGGTGTGTGTTGTGTGTGATGCAACTGGTGTCTGTGCGGCTAGCCAGCACGTCGTAACGGTTGTGCGTGTGCGGTGTGGCGTGCTGGCGCTTGCGTGTGCGTCGGCTGCACATGCGTGGTGCGTGTGGCCGGTGTGGCTGTGCGTTGTGCGTGGTGTGTGCTGTGTTGCGGGAGCTGTGTGCGTGGTTTCGTGAATGTGTGTGTGAGCTTATTCGTTACTAAACTTACATCGCCTTTAAACATGGACGGCCTGTATATCACAAGCTGCTTTTCTGTGTACGATTAATCTCCACACATATGCATATCACTACATCATACTGCACACACTACTACTTCCCAATTATACTACACTCAGCGGATACTACATCAACGTAGCGACGAGATGCTTCATGATCGAACGCCAAACCTGCTTTAAATAGTATAGTACAGCCGCGAGAGAGCGCGTAACATACACACTAAAGCAAGAGTCAGGCATGATGTACATGGGAACGTGACATAAGAAAGAGTTTTTGTGTATAGATTAGATAGGTTAAGATTTAGATAGAAGCGGAAATCGAATGTGCTATTTTTCATCGACGTCGTCCGAGCCCGTGTGTATGTGACATGCAGGCTGGCGTCCGGTGTGCGTTGCGGTGCGCGCGGTGTATGTGGCATAAACATGCTTCCGTGCGTGCGCGACGTGGGGCGCTGTATGATGTGGAATGAATGTTGAGTGCGTGCTGCGCGGTGTATGTGGGCGTATTACAGGATTCGGTGCGTTCACATGCCGGACCGCGACGCCTGTATGGGACATACATGCCTACGGTGCGTGCGGCGCGGTATGCTGACATGCATGTTGCGTGCGTGCCCGCGGTGTACGTGACATACATGTTTCGTGCGTGCACGCGTGTAGCATGGACATACAGTACCCGTGCGTGCGCACGTGTATACGCTGCCATACATGTGGACCGTAGCGGTGCGCGCGTGTAGGTGAGACATGCGGTGCTCCGTCGCGTCGCGCGTCGTAGTACTGCTGACATACATAGTACCGTGCACGTGCGCGCGGTGTATGTGACATGCATGCTCTTGTGCACGCGCGCGTGTAGTGTCGACATGCCATGCCCTCCACGTGCACGGCTGCGCGCGTGTATGCTGACACACATGTGACGCACGAGGACCACGCGCGTTGATTGTGCAGCCAATACAGATTTTCGAAATCTCGAGTAATTTGCAGGAAATATTGGGCGATCGCATATCAACTTCTTTCTCAGGTTTATCTGTCACCGTCGATTGCGACCTGTTCTTCTGCCTTCCGTTCGCTCTCTTCTCGACGTATGCCAGCGATGAGATACGGCTTGGTTGTGTTCTGGGGTCGCTGTTATATCTATCGCGAATATCATTGCTATACGGTCGCCTATATATATACTACACATGCTACGTGCCGGTGCGTGAGTTGTAGTCTGTGTGTGTGGCGGTGCTGTGCGGCGTTGCGTGCTGTGCCGCTGCGTTGCGCGTGTGTGTTCGTGCGGGCGTGGGTGTGCCGTGGTGCCCGTGCGTGTGTGTGTGCTGCGTGTTGTGCGCGTGCGTGCGTGCGTTTGGCTGTTCGATGTGCGTGCCCCCGCGTTGCTCGCGCCCAGTGTGTGTGTGCCGCTCCGCTGTGTGTCTGTGTGTGTTGTGTGGTGTCGTGTGCACGTGTGCGTGTGTCTGGAGGCCCCGTGCGGCCGCTCGCTCTCCTCTCGTTGAGTTTGTGTGTGGTGGTTGCGTGTGCGTGCGTCTGCGTGCGTGCGTGTGTTGGGCGACTGTGTGGTGTGGCTCGCCTCGTGTGTGTGTGTGTTTTGTGTATGTGGGTGTGGGTGTATGTGTGTGTGATGTGGTGCGGCCTGTGTGATCGCCGTCTGTGTGTGTGTGTGGGTGGTGTGTTTGTGGGGTGTAGATACGCGACGGCACGGGAGCGAGTAAGCGTCCTTTATTTATTTATTTATTTATGTATTTATTTATTTAAATAAATAAATATACATGTATTATTTGAGATTATTGAGATTATATGAGATTGAGATGGTGTATGATCTTTCAATATATATATATATATACAGGTACGCACGATGACAACGACGACTGCTCGAGTGTATAAACAAACACGAAAAAGATTGAGCAGCGTCCGCGCGATTCGAGACAGGCGAATGGATGATCCGACAACAACTTTGGCAAAAAGCGAGCCATCGTTTCGCGATTTCGCGGAATTAAAGCAGGTGAGAGCGCCCTGGGCGACGTGCGGCGGCGGCTTTGAGGCACAGTACACTCTTCAAAGATGATGCATTGTTTACGCGATTAATCATTGTATTAGGAGCGACGAGCGCATACGAGGAAAAGATTCGCTTGATGCGACCCGACAAAGCGATGCGCGCGCGTTCACCGCAACCACGCCGCCGCCGCCGTGCCACAATAGCGCTCGCGGCGCCCCTATCGGCAACCTTCGAGATCGCGTTGCGTAACGTGATTTGCCTTAATTCGCTCGAGGTGCGGCGGTGCAACATGTTCTGCTTGCATCTATGACAAATACGACACACGCATATACGCTCTCCTATGACACTATTTGTCATAGGAAGATTCTTCCTATGACAAATATTGGCGAGTCAACTTCGCTCCGCTTTACAGCTAAAATTCACTGTTTGCGTTCATAACAGCGCTCCTAAACTCCTATGATGCGCACAACACATACAACAATATTTGTCCTAGGAAGAATCTTCCTATAAATGTCATAGATGCTAGCAGAACAGGCTGGGCGGTGGTAGCACAATGATGGTAAACAACAACACAAATACACGAAGTATTTAGTGATACATGAAGGGTACGACGAAGGGGTAGTACGCGACTTGCTAAAGCTGACTGGTTATTCATGATTCATTAACTAGAGACGGCCATATTGGACGCGGATCAGGATGACGTGTACGAGTAACCGGATCCGAATGTATGAAGACTCCATCACTTCTATTTGTTTAGTTTCATTTCTTTGAATTTATCAGCTTTGTCAATTAATTTTTTCTTAGTAAATATGATACCTCCAAGGTGTAATTGTCATAAGTGTAAATGAAGTGAATTGAATTTTAATTGAATCGAACATGGCGGTTCTACGGTTGTGACGTCACCGTGAGAAACTTTGAAAGGTGGCACGCGAGAAATTGTACACGGCGAATTTGTGTTCGTACGGCAAAAATCGAGTGCATGTTGTGCAACCGCTGAAACTAAGATTATCAAATGAATCTTATAAAATCTTATGATCTTATGATGAACTTATCTATTCAAATTAGGTGATTCAATTCATTTCTCCTGCCGCGCTCGTAAGAGCCTGCCATCTACGAGCGCCATCTACCGGCGAATTCCACTTCGGCGAGGTGGTGACGTCACAAACAGCAGACGATCGTTAGGTAGATGATTAATGGTGATTAATAACAACAGACACGCGAGAGTTTGACGGCGGCGGCGACGGCGCAGAAAACGATGAGCGTGTGAGGGACAAAAAAAAAAATAGAAGTATGCGTGCGGAGCGAGGCGGGAATCTAGCGTGAGGGATAGAACAACAACCATAAGGTAGAGAGGAAGGGAGGGAGTGAGGGGGAGGGAGGGAGAGAGAGAAAGGGAGGGAGTGAGGAGGAGGGAGGGATAGAGGAGAAAGGGAGGGAGGAGGCACGAGGAACAACAACCATTGAGGAAGGAAAGGGGAGGAAGAAGGTGTGGAAGGCTGGGAGGGACGGAGGAGCGGAGGTAAAGTGGAAGGGAAGGAGGGAGAGAGTAGAAGAGGGAGGTAAAAGAGGAAGGAGGGAAGGGAGGGTAGGGAGGGAGGGAGGTAGGGAGGGATGGGAGGAGGGAGGAGGAGGGAGGGAGGGAGGGAGGGAGGAGGCGAGGGAGGAGTGGTTGCAGTAGTGGTGTGCGTACGGACGAGCGAGCGTGTTGGGGTGTGTGTTGTCGGTGGTTAGATCGTGGGTGTGCGGCGTGCATGTCGTATGTGCGTGTATGCGGGTGTGCATGGCGTTGTGTGTGTGTGGGGGGGGGGTACATGTGCGCACGTAGGTGAATACGTGCGTGCGTGCGTGAACACACCTAATTAATTAATACCTGTACAATCACGAGATATAACAAAATCACCAAGAAACGCCTCCGACGTAGTTTTATACCACATTAGTTGATGTTTTTTATTCGAAGAATCACTCGCTATAGATCACCGGTTATAGATATAATAGACGTTGCATACGCTGCCGCTACATGGCAGCACCGGTGTTAGAAACATATGGTTAGAACACGGCACTTCTAGCACCGCGTGAGAGTTCATAAATCACAGGGATAGCCTCATATAAGCAATATCTCATATAAGCAATTATGACTACGAATGAATTTTCCTTCCTCTCCTCCCCCTCCCTCCACCGTCCCTAACTAACGATCCCTCACCCTCTTATTTCGCCATCATCGTCGCAATAACGCCAAACTAGCGAACAAGTTGCTAAATTTGCCAGCGATGATTACGCGATGGAATCTCACTTAATTACCGCCATGATGGAACACGCGTCTCATGCTTCTACATCACCTGCGCGAGGGAGGCACGCCGCGTGTCTAGGGTGAAGAGGAGGAGATTAGCTTTTAAGCAAAAAAATTGAGCAAACTTCATCGTGGCTCGAGTACTTACGAAGTACTACAAACAATACTGTAAACTAACGTTAGATCTACCGGAGGTTATTGGGAAAATAAATCGATCGATCAATGATCTCCGAAGTCAGTACGACAAACTAAACTACGCAATCAATTAAACAAAAACAAATTAATTAGAAATCTGCAATAATGCTGTAACGATACTAATAAACTCAGGGTCCACTACGCAGCCAACTTTCTTTCGATTTTTCCCTAGAAATAAGTTTTTCATTTTTTCTTCTACCAGCACGTTGCCAACAGGGCTCACCAACGAGAGAGAGTCCGGCATCCGATGTTGCCGACGACGACGACCCAACCCTCTCGTCTTTAACTGTTGCAACGACGAGCGAGCATTAACGAGAGATGTCCGCATCTACGGCTGCCGATTCCACATCCTGATCCCCTCGCGTGTGAGTTTGCGAAAAGATCCCCTCACGTTCAAGCGTGCCGGAGAAAACATCCCCTCACGTAGTCACGTATATAGATCGCTGGTGAAAAGACCCCTTCACGTATATAGATCGCTGGAGAAAAGACCCCTTCACGTATATAGATCGCCGGAGAAAAGATCCCCTCACGTATATAGATCGCTAGAGAAAAGACAGCCGCAGCGGATTCCCCGTTAATGCTCGATTCCACCCACCTACGTTTTTTTACCATTTTTTATGCGAAAAACTTAAATCTTTTCGGAGCGAAAAATTGAGGGTTTTCGCTCATTCTCGCGCATGAAATGTGAAAGATGTCCATGTCGTTTTAAGCGCGCTAGCCATCTATTGCTTCCAGGTTTTGCTCAGCTCTCTAGTAGTAAAAAAAAAACGCTAGCAACACAACATAATCAAGCTATGTGATCGAACTCTTCCGAACGCGGCACGAGCGCAGACGTCGTCGCGGCGACGGCGGATCGAAGCCTGGATGGCCCGGACGAAATCCGAAATTCGCGACCGTTCCCCCGATCCGCCGCCACCGCATGTTGGCGCTGTGCCAAAACTTCGGCCGGTCGCCTAGTCACAACTCTTCTTTACTCGTTTTTTTTTCTTGCACCAGCGACCACGGCGGCGCGTCGGCGCGGCCTCGCTCACGTAAGAGACTGCGCCGCCACGACCACCGGCGTCATCTACCGAGAGAAATTACAATCTAAGAGTCTCGCGTAAACTACGGATGGAAGTTGTCAGAGAAGGTTCACTTCTCGTTGACTTGATGTTTGTTACTGGCTAACGAGGTTCACTCCGTAGAAGGTTCACTTCTCGGTCTTTTAGGTTCATTACTGGCTGAAAATGTTCACTCCATAGAAGGTTCACTTCTCGGTCTTTGAGGTTCATTACTGGCTGAAAATGTTCACTCCGTAGAATGTTCACTTCTTGGTCTTCGAGGTTCATTACTGGCTGAAAATGTTCACTCCGTAGAATGTTAACTTCGTAAAAGGTTCATTTCTCTGTGAGAAGGGTTAGTTCTCGGTCTGGAAGTTCACTACTCAATAAGAATGTTCACTTGTCGGTTGATAGTACCGATCCTAATCAAACGAGAGGCGCGTGCACGTGGCGTACACGTGGCGCCCCCTATACACCTTCGTGCCGGACGACGCTCAGAGGCCGTGCTTCTTGTACAGGTCGAGCACCTCCTGGACGTCGTCGCGAGAGCCGAGGAACACCGGCGCCCTCTGGTGGATCGACGTCGGCACGATGTCGAGGAGGTTGATGTGGCCGTTGCTGGCGATTCCGCCGGCCTGCTCTACGATGAACGCCATCGGGTTACCCTCGTATAGCAGCCGCAGCTGTAAGGACGCAATACATTAACACCCTCGTAGAGCAGCCGCAGCTGTAAGGACGTGCGCGCGAACAATGGAGTTAGTATATTACATTAACACCTCCGTATAGCAGCCGCAGTTGTAAGGACGTGCGCGCGAACAATGGAGTTAGTATATTACATTAACACCCTCGTATAGCAGCCGCAGCTGTAAGGACGTGCGCGCGGACAATGGAGTTAGTATATTACATTAACACCCTCGTATAGCAGCCGCAGCTGTAAGGACGTGCGCGCGGACAATGGAGTTAGTATATTACATTAACACCCTCGTATAGCAGCCGCAGCTGTAAGGACGTGCGCGCGGACAATGGAGTTAGTATATTACATTAACACCCTCGTATAGCAGCCGCAGCTGTAAGGACGTGCGCGCGGACAATGGAGT